TCCTTATTTCTCATGTTAATAAAGAAGCCATTGAATAGCTTACTTTTTTTTAATTCCATGCCATCAAATAATAGTAAAGATGGGACTCATCTTTCTACTATCTTACACACACACACCAAAAAAGGGAAAAAATAATTTTTTTACCAATTAAGTTTTATCAGTATAATTTGGATAAAAAGACTTTTTCCAAGTTAAAGAGACACTGCAATTCAACAGCAATGACAAGAAGGCGGCTGCAAACACTCAGTTATATACTAAGCAGATATTTGACTAATATGAAAAAGTGGCACAGTATGCAAGCTATAGAAATCACCTAAGGCATATCTTCTTTATCAATCAGCCTTGTTCAAGTTTTTAATTATTTTATTTCTTAGTCAAATAGACACAGAGTCTAAAGATGCAGGTACATCACTGCCCAGAGAAGGAACAATGTTGATCTCTTTGCTCTTGCTCAAGACTTTTTTCTTCCTGGTAGCCCACAGCTAAATACACCACTAATCCTGGACAATATTCTGTTTCCCTAATCTAATGAAAAAATTATGACCTACCCATTGAGCCTTAATAAGTACCATGGCCTACCACCTTTTGTTATCACTTCAGCTGTATTTATTGTGATGTAAATGAGACAAGAGCTCACAGAGCATTTTTAGTGAGTAAACCTCTGAAGATGCTAAATACTTCATTAGTTAATCTCTAACAGATATATATAGTCGTTGAGTGGCTACCCACTTGTGTAAAATGTACCCTCTATCCATATACCAAAAATAAGTAAAGTATATACACTTACTATTGATCATGCAATGACAACAAAAAGTCATCTTTTTTATTTTATTTTCTGTTTTGATCTGAACAGAGCAGGTTTTAAACAAACAAACAAAAGATTTGTTCATGTTGGGTTTTGGGGTTTTTTAATCTTGCCTTGCTATTAATACAGTTTTGAAGTTTATCACAGAAGAAACTCAAATTAAGGGCCTTTTCTGTTTGTTTTTTGTTATATTTTTTCCTCAGTTATGATAGGAGTTAGCAATCTCCTTCAGCATCCACAGATTCAAATGATAAAGGCCAGGGATTAAGCACAGCCGATTAACAGTCTGTGTCCTCTTCAATCTAGCATTTCCACCGTAGATAAACCCATATTCAGACTGAAGTTATAATAAACAGACTGTCCTCAATATCATTTCCCTAGATGACCTCCTTCAAAACTGACATTCAAGTATTCTTGTGGAAAATTTCAGGTTATAGTAACTGGAAAAGCAGACAAGACAATATATACCTACACAAATGATTCCAAAGATCAAGCCAAATGTTTAGAAAGCAATTTGGGTAAAATGATAATTTTACTACGAGTATTTTGCTTGCTTCAGTTCTGAGTAATTCCTTATGATTATAGGTTTGACATATGAAATAAAAGCAATTTCTAAATTTTATCTTTATCGCTTCTACCATGTATCCTTAAAATAACTGCATTATTATTTATACTTATTAAGACCAAAAAAAATATATCTTCATCAATATAGTGGTTGAAATTCTTTCCCTTCCGTAGGTAAAGGAAAACAAACATTGAAATCTTCCATCTACCCTAGATTCTCTGAAATGTAAGTGTTACTCTCAGAAAACTGTCAGTACAAATCATTTGTCCAGTGAATAACAGCAAAAGAATAAAAATCCACATGGACAGAATTGCAGAAATATTCTGTTAGGTATGTGTTTTGATTTCTATCATAAATAATATTTTCACCTAAAATGAAAAAAAAAAGCCCCTAAAAACAAAGATATTTTTTGCTTTGTAAGAACATTTTAACATGGAAAATTCAGACAGGATTCTGCTACTATTTGACATTTGAAATCCAGAATCTTATGGGTGAAAAGAAAGGCTATGATTAACACATGAACTGTGTAACAGGGCATTTTAATTTCTTTACCTACATGTTCCATCTATTTTAAGGAACTATAGAATTTTATGTCATTTAATTTCAGTGTACTTCTTCAGAGAGAAGCAGCAGCAGCATTTTAAACTATCTTATTATAAATAGCTAATCTTATCTACCCAGTTAAAGGGACTGTATTTTACTCTTATTTCCATTAGTTTATACTGGCAGGATTCCAGTGAAGCCGTTCTGATACCAGATGAATTCATTTGTGCATTTATTCTTCAATTCTTTATTCAAAGTACATGATCAAAATTTGGTTCCCTTTGACCAAACCATGCAAGTGAAAGAAACAGGTCATGCCATGTAGTGAAAAAAACAAAACAAAACAGAACAAAACAAATAAGCTCACCAAACCTGAGCTGCATTTTGATTAGTTATTCACTAGAATTGTTTTGAAGTAAGCACTGCATGTGACCATAGTTAATTCACTAGAGTTATTCATCAATTCTTTTCACCAAAGTTTAAAAAAAAAAAAAAGATAGCATAAAATGATTGAGATTAAGTTGCATAGTCAGAACAATAATTAGGTTTGGATGATTCCATCCACCTTTTCTTCCAGACACAAAACAGTTTCAAAGCTCTTTTAAATAAATCTGTACTTGAGAAAGAATTGAAAATGTGAATTTAACTCAAAGTCACTCACTTTGAGATCTTGCTTCAAAAACTAATTTCATGGTCTGTCTCCATAACAACATAGCTTATTTTTGCCAACTAAGACTCATATAATGAAGCATAATGTGTTTAATCAGATTGTATGGACTACAATTTAAGGCTATTTATGTTTAGTACGATTTGGAGACACACTAACTTATGAGATGTGATTTGTAGGTCAGTTCTCCTTAATCATCTTTATGAGCAGAAGGTTACATAGTTTCATCATAAAAAAAGCCACAATGACTTATATTTAACTAGTGATAAGATACACAGTATACAATTAAAACACCATGTACTCCATTTATTCATTTTGAAATTTCTTATTCCCCACTGGAATCTGTTAAAAATGCTTGTCATATTGTACAGGAACAATCTTGCCTTCAGCTCATCACTGACACCAAAATTTGTCTCTCATTATTCAGCTATGTATTCTTTTATGCATGGGTTTAGATTTTGAAGAGGATATATAAAAGAAAATAGATTACAATTACATACTATTTAGTGTAAAAAAAAATAAATCTAAAACCAGGAGGAAGAGTAAGTCACACTTTTTGTGGAATTAAGTGGACAAAAATGTCTACAACAGGTAAAATTTAATTTATTAGTCCTTTCTATTTTTAATCTAACAGTAAATGTTATTAGCTATTACATGCAAGATGAGGAATTTTGTAGGCTGTTACGCATTCAGCACACAGTTTGCTATTATTATCCATTTGATACCAAATATTCTTTTGCTAGATATTTATAAACATTTTTCCTTGTCTAATTTCCTGTCTTCCTCAATTAATGGATGAAACTTCTTATTACTAGATTGGAGAAATATATTAATTTATTAACACTGAGCTTTAATATGAGACTGAGTTAGCAGAGCTGATATTCCTTCAGTGACAACAACAAAAAAATCTTAACCTGAGGTGCTTTCTTAGGGCAAGGTTACCCTAGTGACTAATTAAAAGCCACAGGATAAAATCCAGAACATAAACAAATTTAAGAAAGAATTATCGGTTACTATCCAAGGAGTGAGATGCAGTGCAATGAGACTGGAAGAGGGAAAGGACTGAGTGGAAAGATCTGCTCCTTCGTCTACACACATGCACACATATACACACATGCGCACAGAGCCCCCATGCACACAGCTTTTCTTCCAGAGCACTTTTCATTTAAGCAGCTTGGTAGTATTTATGTTTGCAGAGCTCCCAGTATTCCCAAACCTTACCCCTTTATTTTTAGCTTTCATGTTCTTGCTTCAGCTGATGAGAATAGGAAAAGAAGGTGGTATGTTTATTGCTGGCAAACCACTTGGTAATTCTGAGTAAAGAAGCCAATCAAGGCAGAAGGATTATAATAATCAAAGTGCAAAATTTGCATATTTAGAGTATGGTTACTGAGAAATAACAATGCCTTGGTTATGCAAATCAAACCCTCAGCTGAAGTGAAGGGATTTGCATATCTGAGAGAAATCTGTCACGTTATGCATTGGTAACTCCATTCTAAGTGGCTGAAAGAACTGGCTTTTAGCAGAATATTAAATATAATTGCCAGTTGAATTTTTCATTTCCTTATGATATGGAATAAACTTAATTCATTTGGGGCCTGATGAAAACAGGTCTTCTTCTCTGTAGGAAGCAATACCATTCAGAACAACAAAAGATACATTCAGCATGCCATAAAGTTAGAATTTTTAAGATTGAGATAATGAAAATGTTCAAAGAGTTGTGTGTTACCAGTTGTGTTCATCCTTTTTGTCTATAGAAGGTGGTTTAAAGTAGCCCTCTTGAGAAAGGATTGCATAAAACAGATGAAAGTTTAAGGCCACCTGCTCAGCTCTGCATAATAAAATCATGTTTACTTCATTTTAAATGTAGTGAATGAAGAAGAAGTTGGACTGAAAAGTTTCATTGTGAAAAATCCTGGAAAAAACCTGCAGACTTAACTACTATAACAATTTCTTATTTATTAAAATCAAGCTCAGTTAACTGTAGGCTCAGAGGTATTATAACAAAACTAAAGAAAAAAAGATTAGGGAAATTCTCTTTTAAAAATGAATATGTGCTAGTATTTGTACCATTTATCCATGGGAAAATAAATATGCTACTTCTGGTCAATGTTTATTTCCCCTTTCCTCTTTTGTGAATGATGCTCAGCTGTAGTTCAGATGTAAACTTAAGGTTGGCTTACACACCCTGGCCACTGCCTGCAAATGAAATTGCAGTTTAGTGTTACACTGAAACATGAGAGAGAATTCATGCAAGCATGTTCAGTCTACAAAGTATTATTTACAATGTGTGTTCAGAGGCATGATCCATTTCCACAGATAAAAGATGGAGGAAACTGAGCAAGATGCTTTAAAGGCCTGGCTACTACTCTTGTGTAGAACTGGTGAGTGCACTGCAGTGTGATCCTTAGAGTACTTACCATCCTCTGTGGGCACATAGATATTCAAATACAGACAGTCTTCATTTTGATCTTGAACATATGTCACCACAGTATCCAGATTGGCTGTAAACCAGACTGGCAGCATGTCATTGAGCAGTGACCTCTCATCCAGGTACTGCGGGCAGACAGCAGCAAACTGCGTGGCGTTGCGGACACCCGTCCAAGACGACGGTGGCTCCGGGGGCTGAAATCGCCTTTCTCCAGTTGGAGGAGAGGCATAAGGAACACCCAGGTACTGCTCCACTGGACCAAGGATCTCATTAGGCAAAGGTGTTCTTAAACCACGTATTTTGCCATAATTCGTGGTAACAACTGGGTATTGTGCTTGGCCATCGATGAGAGTAAATCTTATAGCCAGTGCAGTTATCCACAGGAGGAAGTTAGAATTCAACATGACACACACCGGGGTGAAGATCAAAGGCAGCCATAGGAGTCCCATTGGTTTCGACATTATTTAAATCAACATCAGCAGGGCTCTTTTTTCCACAGCCAGGAGAAAATGAATCAGTCAAGGAAAATGAAAACTAATAAAATAAAAAAGTAGTCAAAAGGCAATGAAGTGAGGGGAAATGTAACCTCGTTCAGGCAGTGAAAAACAAAAAGCTGATATGTGGTAGGTGCCTCAACTGACTGGCCGTAGACAAATCCCAGTGTCAGAAGAAACAAGGGAATGTTTGCCCCTAAGGCCCATCCCAGACTTCAGTGTTGGCTTAATCCTGGCAACGCACAGCACTTCCCAGCAAGCAGCGTGGGGAGAGATCTGTAGTTATTCCACTTCCCCAGTGAAACAGCTCCTTCCAGCGAAGTCCAGCCCACTCAGTCAGCCTGTGGCCAAGAAAAAACAAGCAATTCAAATCAACAGACACATTCATATTGGTATAAATCTAAAAAAAAAAAAACCACCAACCAACCAACCAACAAAAAAAAAAAAAAACCACAAAAAAAACCCAAACAATTAAATTCACACATTACTTCCACATCAAGGTATAAAAAAGAAGTTTTATGAACTTTTGGCACTGCGGTTAGCTATGAGTTCCAAAGATATGTAAGGCAAGACAGATGAAAATTGAAGCCACAAGCTTGTCAGGTTATACCGCAACCCAATCATTTCTGCTTCTGTGTGTGCTTCCAAACCACACCACAGCCCAAACATTGCTGCTCTTAGGAAGGGTATCACATTTAAGTGCTAGCTCCAGGGTATTTTCTGCCCTAAATAAACAGCATCTCCTTTTTAAGCATATTTGCATTCCCACAGGAAACAATCATTAAACGTTTTGCTGCATTGGATAATCTCTCTTTGTTATGATGTGACTTCCATATAGTATTTTTCACAGGTATGCCTACTCTTCTGTATGACAACCTAATTTACCTCCATTTAATTCAGAAATTCCAATTAATGTAATAGCATTACATTAGTTCAAGTCAAATGTGAGAACAGCTATTCAAAATTAGATACAAAGTAAGTGACTGGTTTTCATATCTTTGGTTTATGTCTGACAAAAAAGGAACAACAGAAACTGAAAAGAAAAAATAAAAGTATGATACAGTCTCTCAAAAGTCAGATTTTGACCTACATAGTGTTACAACTATGTAATGTTACCTTCTTGCATGCTCCTACTTTTGATTTTTAGACAGAAGGCAATTCATACAATAATTCTGTTATTTAATGAAATACAAGTTGCTCATACATATACGCTAGCCATTATAAGTAGTATAAATAAACAGCCTTGTTAATACTTACATTCTTCTCCCTGCCCAAAGAAATGAAGGAGTTCCTTTTTACTCATTATTCAACTCAAAACCACAGACAACAATTCTATAGCTAAAAAAATCTTTGTTATAGGAAACTGATACTGATACTTTACATTTGATAGGATGAATGCACATCTATATATAAAACATTTATAAGTGGACTACCAGGTCCTGTAGGTTACTCAGGACTGTCTCATGAAGATATAAAATCAGTTTTCAAGAGCAGAAAAAAACAAGGTAAGTAGCTACTGACAGTGATTTCAAATTACCAAAAAAACCCACAAAAACCAAAACAACCCAAAATAACCACAGGAGACATCTATGCTGATCCTTTTAGGCAAGGAAAGGCATTTGAAAGAAACATACTTCATTCTCTCAAAACTCCTGGAATACTTCAATGACTTCATTTTAGCACTTTTACTGGAGAATTTCAAAACACCTGAACACCAGAAGCCAGAAAAATATCAGATACATATTATTTATGGTGAACCAAAATTTCTATTGACATTTTCACTGGCAGAGAATAGGCTCAGATGCTGCCTCCAAATGACTTGCAATTGAAGCCTGAATTCCAAAGGATGAATCAGTAACACCCTAAGTGGCATGTCCCTGGGGGCACCACCAGGGCCACCAGTCCCTGCACGAAGCCCTGTGCCCAGACCCATGCCCAGCCTGGACCTTGCCCTGACTGGGTCCCCAGGTTGGCCTTGGACCTGATTCCTCGCCCTGCCTGGCCTGATGATTGTTGAGTGGTGGAAGTGTCCCGTCCCTGTCACCAGCCCAGTTTTGATGGGGTGTTTTAGGAGGATGCCCGGTCAGCAAGAGCATTGCCCTTCCAGTTTTGCAGTGCCTGCAGCTCCTGGCTCATCCTCCCCCATGGGGCAGCCCCACGCCAGCTGCTCCCTAGCACCGAGAGTGGTCAGTTGACTACCGGTCACTCAAAATTTCTTCTCAAGCACCACCTTCCCATCTGATTCCTGCTACAGTCTTTAACAACAGAAGTCAGCAGCAGGCAATTGATTTCGGGTAGTGTTTGTTCATGCTTTCTCCCATTCTGACTTTGGTACACTTTTCCGACCATGCAGCACAAAGTAGATTTTCCACTTATACCCAACTGAGGATTTAATCTGTGCTCAGGGAGGAGCAACAGATCCTACTCCCTTGATACCCACACTGCAGAAGTTTGTAATAACATTGTAAGAAAAAGAAATGTGGAATAAAGCACTGAGAAAATTGATAAGGTGGAAGACAGTGATCTAGATGATGAAAAATGGATAGAGAAAAAACTTGTCTGGACAAAGAGCAAATGAAAAAAAGGAGGAAACAAATGGGAGTGACAAATAAACAAGAGTGAACAAATGACCAGAATGGAGAGAACAAAAAATTACATCAAGGAAAGTGGAAATCCTCAGCTGATACATATACTAGAGAAAATATACAACTGTCAAAAATGTGACTTAACAAATAATATTTATCCATACTAATTACAGGGTGTCTTTGGATCAAATATCTGGTTATACATCATTATCTTGAATAGGGTGAAAGGACAGGAAAAGGGAAACATTCATTATTGACCTGGAACTGAATTTGCTATCTGATTCCTTATCTAGGAAATAAGACCAACAAAAGTCAAGTTATCCGCTCATACAGTGTGTTTTATTTCCCCCTGTACCTTAACAAGAGCATACAACAAAGTTTGCATTTCTGATTCATGCACACATAGACATTTAGATTTTCAGGATCTTGAACCCCTAAGGAAACAAACTGTTGGCTAACATACAGAGCATAGCGAGCTCTCTCAGCCCCGCTATCTGACCTATAACACACCTGCAGCCTTTGCCAACCAGTGCAAAGACATAAACAAACGGCAGATAGCGACAAGCACATTAACACAGGCAAGGTATATACCATAAAAGCAATTCTAAGTTGATAAGTCAGAATAAAACCACTATTTATTGTAACATGTTCTGGTTATTAAAAGTTGTTATTTTTTACCAGTTAAAAGGCAATAGAAGCAAATGAAGTTTTTAATAATTTCTTTTTAAACAGGTCTCTTCAAAAATTTATATAAGTAATAAATTATTGTCCTGGTTTCAGCTGGGATAGAATTAATTTTCTTCCTAGTAGCTGGTACAGAGTTGTGTTTTTTGGATTTAGTATGAGAGTATGTTGATAACACCCTGATGTTTTAGTTGTTCCTTATTGCTTACTCTAAGTCAAGGACTTTTCAGTTTCCCATGCTCTGCCAGCGAGGAGGGGCACAAGAAGCTGGGAGGGAGCACGGCCAGGAGAGCTGACCCAAACCACCAAAGGGATGTTCCATACCATAGAACGTCATGCCCAGTATAGAAACTGGGGGAGTTGGCTGGGAGGGGTCGATCGCTGCTCAGGGACAGGTTGGGCATCGGTCAGCGGGTAGTGAGCAACTGTGTTGTTCATCACTTGATTTTCTTCGGTTTAACTCCTCTCTCTCTCTTTATTATCTGCTTTATTATTATTATTATTATATTTCACTTTATTTCAATTATTAAACTGTTCTTGTCTGAACTTGCAGGTCTTACTTTTTTCTGATTCTCCTCCCCATCCCACGGGGGTGGGAGGAGGAGTGAGTGAGAGGCTGTGTGGTACTTAGTTGCGAGCTGGGGTTAAACCACGACAAGTATGTATGGCCATGGTATACAATAAGTCTTTAAACAAAAGCATTCCACTTTTCAGTTTATTGACTTACTACTAGAGAAATTACCATTTTCATAAGGTTAGTTTCACACCTAAAATACATACACATTCATACACAGAGAAAGATACACAGAATAATTTTCAGCAAGAATATCAAGAGATGAAGAAGGCATGGTAGCTATACATTCATGAACTAGCTGATTTTGCTATGTGCATCATTAAAAAGGCTGGAAGATGTAAAGAGAGTCACAGATTGCAATTAGAGATTACTCTTAAACAGAAAACTGTAAGTATTTTAGAATGTTTTGAGATACTATAATAAAACTAGTTTGATGTACATCTCTGTGTATCCGTTCAGCTATTTAATACACCTTTACATACTGAGTCTACAGAGAGAAATGTATTTGTCTTTATTATCACTTATAGCATTGTATTTTTTCCATGATTTTTTTTTTCACTGCTTCAAGTGTTAGAAAAATGTGTACAAACTTGCTTGCAAAAACTTGCTAGTTGGAAGCATCACCCACTCAAACAATCAAAAACAATCTATCCAAACCCAAATATTCAGTTTAAAATGGCAACTTCTGGCAACACAACACACAAAGAGAAGTCAAAGAAGATCTGAAATCACATACGTTCATACATGACTTCTTTATTGACAGAGGAGTATAATTTGAGGTTAATGAGACATTTATGGCCTTCGAAGGCAACGCAGATTGAAGTTAACACAGATGTGCATCTACTAGAAACACCACTTGTACTTAATTATAAATCTATGCCCCAAGTCATACTTAGAGATGCTTAAATAGTCTATGAATCAGGCCTTGAGGGCTAACTTGATGGTTTCCAGGATCTGCAGTTAGCATTTTTTCAACTTGAGCAGATGAGTATGTCAGTAGCTCTACACTAATTCTGTGTCTGCTTGGGAAACAGGAGACATGGCTTAAAAGTCCTCTTTGCTCCAGGGTAGAATAGCAAACTCTAAAGGGATTTCAAGTTTTTTTGACCTGCTTGTCCAGGTCA